GAAACCTTACAACGTGATGATAAATTTAGCCAAAGTAATTTATTAATATTCGTTTGGTATATTTTTCACTCTTGTATTCAATTATATTTTTTTCTGAATTTACACAGAGTGCGTGTCTTTATTATATTAATTATCTTATAATTAATTATTCTCTTTTGACCTAATCAAACGTTTTTTCTATGTTTTCCTATCTTAGGCTTTATAATTGTTGATCAATAATTTTAACAGAGAGAGCTATCTTCTGGAAAGAAATTTCTAATAATAACAAGGTATATGCACGCCATCTATAGTCAAAATTATTAACTATTTTTAAATATTTTGAAATATTTCTGTTTAAAAATTAATTATATCCTACCCTGTCACCAATAATGCCATTTAAAAGTAACGGATATATATGCAACACGGGACAATACATTATCATAAAGCGGTATGGTAGATTAAACTGGCGAAACCGCTGTGAGGGTTCACTATTGATGAGCCAGGCCTTTCTATCATTACAGTAAGGGTAATAGTAAATGATTTAATTTTAAAATTTTTATCATCACCTTTACTTCTTTTCTTTTTTTTTGGGAGGGTTCATAAACCAAATGCATTGTTTTAATGCATTTTTAAAGGGAAAGGTGCCACTTTTTGATACATATATAGAAAAATTAACGAAATAGATAAGTTACACTTATTTATTTTCTCGGTTGAATGCTAGAACAATTCGAAACAGACGATCATTGTGGTTCACACAATACAATCCGAACCTACCATTCGAAATAGCCAAAGAACAATTTTGATTCGACACCCCTGAAAAATAAAATTCACAGACACACCAGGTATTGGTAATTAATTCAGAAAATATTTAAACAAATCTTGAGCTATAAATCTTCTAATGAAAAGATTCTTGGTTTTTGGAAAAGTAAATTTCCTCAAAATATGATAATAACGTCTTTTTTTTTTTTCATCAAGAAATTCAATATTAACTTCCGACTAATTTTAATATTAGCCTTTTAAAATATGGAGTGCCTTCAAGCACTTAGCTAATAAATAGGATCACGTCCGATAGTTTACGACGGTTTATTATGAAATAATATTGGCTCTAAATATTTGTTTTGGAAAAATAATTGCTTTTCTTACCACCCCCTACTTATAAAGTGAAAATTAGAAAAATAGTGCAAATGTGAAATTAGACTGAAATCACACAAGTGGTTGAATAATGAAAGAATTAGAACGAGATTTGACAATTATCCCGCAAATGTTTCTTTTGAACGAAAAATCGAAATTTATTTTAAGGAGAAATAACGATTATTTCTAGGGATGAAGTATGAAAAGATGAATTGTGAAAAGTAATGATAAACGGAAAATAAAAGTGTCCAGGGATGGGAATCGAACCCATAATGTTCCACTTACTGGGCATCATGGCATGATGGGTTCGATAATTGTCAAATGTCGTTCTACATAAGCCGCATTATATCTACTTATATAATTGCCTTATTCTGTCTGAAGCTCACGGATAGAATGCGCGCCCATTGGCTGCCGGCGAACACGTGTCCTCCCTGCCCCCCTCTAGACAACCCTGTTATCAGCTGTGTGATACATACACCTGTCTATAGCGGCCATTCTAGACAACCCTGTTATCAGCTGTGTGATACATCCACCTGTCTATACAGACCACCCTGTATATAGCGGCCATTCTAGATAACCCTGTTATCAGCTGTGTGATACATACACCTGTCTATAGCGGCCACTCTAGACAACCCTGTTATCAGCTGTGTGATACATCCACCTGTCTATACAGACCACCCTGTCTATAGCGGTCACTTTAGGCTACCCTGTTATCATCAGTGTGTTACATTCACCTGTCTATACAGACCACCCTGTCTATAGCGGTCACTTTAGGCAACCCTGTTATCAGCAGTGTGATACCTACACCTGTCTATACAGACCACCCTGTCTATAGCGACCACTCTAGACAACCCTGTTATCAGCTGTGTGATACATCCACCTGTCTATACAGACCACCCTGTCTATAGCGGTCACTTTAGGCTACCCTGTTATCATCAGTGTGTTACATTCACCTGTCTATACAGACCACCCTGTCTATAGCGGTCACTTTAGGCAACCCTGTTATCAGCAGTGTGATACATACACCTGTCTATACAGACCACCCTGTCTATAGCGACCACTCTAGACAACCCTGTTATCAGCTGTGTGATACATCCACCTGTCTATACAGACCACCCTGTCTATAGCGGCCATTCTAGATAACCCTGTTATCAGCTGTGTGATACATACACCTGTCTATAGCGGCCACTCTAGACAACCCTGCTATCAGCTGTGTGATACATCCACCTGTCTATACAGACCACCCTGTCTATAGCGGTCACTTTAGGCAACCCTGTTATCATCAGTGTGTTACATTCACCTGTCTATACAGACCACCCTGTCTATAGCGGTCACCTTAGGCAACCCTGTTATCAGCAGTGTGATACATACACCTGTCTATACAGACCACCCTGTCTATAGCGACCACTCTAGACAACCCTGTTATCAGCTGTGTGATACATCCACCTGTCTATACAGACCACCCTGTCTATAGCGGCCACTCTAGGCAACCCTGTTATCAGCTGTGTGATACATCCACCTGTCTATACAGACCACCCTGTCTATAGCGGTCACTTTAGGCAACCCTGTTATCATCAGTGTGTTACATTCACCTGTCTATACAGACCACCCTGTCTATAGCGGTCACCTTAGGCAACCCTGTTATCAGCAGTGTGATACATACACCTGTCTATACAGACCACCCTGTCTATAGCGACCACTCTAGACAACCCTGTTATCAGCTGTGTGATACATCCACCTGTCTATACAGACCACCCTGTCTATAGCGGCCACTCTAGGCAACCCTGTTATCAGCTGTGTGATACATCCACCTGTCTATACAGACCACCCTGTCTATAGCGGCCACTTTTAAGAACACACAGTTTGGAACGGGACGTTTCACAAGAGTGAGATCCATGGCGCCAATTTATAATTGTAACGAATAGTATTTGAATTAAAACGTTTTTAAAATATATTCGCACTCGGGTAAAACCCGGGCGTTGCCCGGGCCATTCGTCTAGTTGTATTATAAATGAAAGATGTATCGTTTGATTACGTAACTGAGTATTTCTGAAAGCTTGCGCCATCTATTGGAATAAATATGAACTAATCGTTATTTTTTAATTATGTAATTCAGAATATCAGATAAGCAAACCAAGTGCGTGTTTCAGACTTTTTAAATTTTTATATAAATTTTTATATATATTATATATATATATATATATAAAATATATTTTTTTTTTCATCGCAGTAAGGACAGTATAAGCCTCACAAAATAAAAAGATCAAAACATATATATATATATATAATAACTTTCTTTTTTCTTATACCTTTAATTATGTAAATATTTGGTTTCCTTTTTCCTTTTTGTATGGTTGTTGTTGTTATTGTCGTGTCCAAAGAAGAGTCTCAGATGTCTCCATGCATCTCCATCACAGCAGCAGCAATATCCACTATCTTTTTTGTATGGTAAATCATTACAATAAGGAATGCCAATCTATATATTTATAGCACAAATAAGTTAAACTATGTAAATTGTACTACGACAAAGAACAAATATGCAAAGTGTAAATATTAAAATACAAACATTAGGCCTCCAGGGAAAAGTTTCTGGCCTAATGTTTTATTTTAATATTGATTCAAGGGATTATTATCCGAAAAGAAAGAGTAAATATGCAAAGACACAACAATCATAAATTTTGATAGGTAAGTAATTAGGAATATGTCACAATAACGTTGGTAGGGATTGTATGAATCCTTATTTGGAAGAATTGCAATGGTGTATCCAGATCTGTCCTGAAGATATAAGTAGTACTCTCTTGACGCACCATGAAGAAAGCAAATTTTAAAACCCAATATCGTACTTGAATCACGACTTTTTTAATTTTTAGAATAATAATATTTTCTATTATTGTGGTTTTCATATTTTCAATGTTAAAATTATTTAGTTTAAATCCTTTTAGAATATATAAAATAAAAAGATTTAAAAGCACGAATGTTTCTTTTATACATAATTCAAACTTATACTGTCCTTACTGCGATGAAAAAAAATATATGGGAGGGCTTGGCTCATCAGTGGTGAACCCTCCCAGCGGGTTTTGCCAATTTAATTTACCAGACCGCTTCTTAGATCTCTGATACTGTATTGGATGATTCTGCTTATATACGCAGCACTGAAGGGTGGAATCTCAGAAATGGTTTTCAATAAAACTATGTACATTCAAATATTTGCATCGAGCAATGCTCTTCCGCAAACAATAAATTCATCAATTTCATCGCAGTAAGGACAGTAGAAGTTTGTATTGTGTATAGAAGAAACATTCGTGCTTTTAAATCCTTTCTTTTTATATGTATAGATGGCGCGTTATTGCTTTGTGTTAAAATATTAGAATATATAGACAAAACAACAACAAAAGCTTTTATTAAGGCATTCCTCCTTGTAATAATTCGTCATACAAAAAAGGAAAAATGAAACCAAATATTTACATAAAGGTATAAGAGAAGAAAGTTATTTTATATATACATGATTATATGTACATGTTTTGACCTTTTTATTCTGTGAGGCTATTTTTCACCAAGACCGCTTTATGATAGTTTTATAGTTCTATAGCTATGTGTTTGTCTTTTCTGAAGCGATTTTTAATCAGTTGAACTGGTTCAACATATATCTGAATTATTTCAATTTAAAGCTATGTTCCCCTATGGACACTTGCACTGTCATACATGTATGTCTTTACATTTGTCTTAAATATTTACAATAATTGTAGAACGACATTCGAAAATATCCCGCATGTGTTTCCTTTAAGCGAAAAATTGAAATTTATTCCAAGAAGAAATAACGATTATTTCTAACCTTAGGGATGAAGTATAAAAGGATGAATTGTGAAGAGTAATGATAAACGGAAAAATAAAAGTGTCCAGGGATGGGAATCGAACCCACAGTGTTCCGCTTACCGGGCAGATGCCATGTCCACTTATAGGCTACAATACCCTACAATAATTGAAGGTCGTAAGGAATAGCCATATGATATTAACCAGGAGAAAGAGAGAGAAAAATGGAGAACTTTGTACAAAAGAAATGAATGTCTGGCAATATATCTACAATTAAGATAATAAATTAGTTTTTAGTAAATAGCAGTTTCTTCAAATATATTTGTTGCTATATAATTTGAAATATATTTACAGAAGGTATTAATTGTAATATACATTTCTTTACTGGATATAAAAATACTTGGATCTGTTACAATTATTGTCGATTTTATAGTCTTGAAAAACAGGACAATCCAGTAAAAGATGTATTGAGGTTTGTTCCTCATTTCCGTAAAAACAACTCGAATCTTACACTGCTTTAATTATTTTTAGAAAACCTTTAAAAATTCCATGATTAGAAATAAATTGAGATTTATGAAAGTTTAACCGGAAATATTTTGGTATGTTGTTAGGGAAAAAGCTATAAAAAGTTTTATTTGTGTTGTTCTTCAAAGTAGCCATTTTAAATTCAATAAAATCCGTTATTATGCTTGGTACATCAAAATTGTAATTTTGTTTTTCTTCTTAATTCAAATTATTTAATTCATATTTAATTTCTTTGGATTCAATGAAATCGTTAAGCAAAGACATCTTGGCTATGCTATGTATACAATTAGAACTCTTCGTTTTATATGATTGCGTGCACCATAATAGCATTTAGTATTGAAATGAATTTCATTTATTTATATTTTTCTTATTTACGAATTTATACCATATCTCTGATCCATAAGAAAGCATTGGCCTAAATATTGTATTGTATAATGTAAGTCTCTTTTGGGTACTAAGACCCCAAGCTTGTCCGCAAATTGACAGTAGCAGATTTTTAAATCTTTTCTTATCTGATTAATGAAGTTAAAAATGTTCCTTTCCTCCCCCATATAAATAAAATCAGATAGATAGTGGGACATTTCGTTTGTAGGTTTTATTCTACAAAGCTTGCAAAAAATGATAGAATATTGTTGCATCAATTTTAATGCGCCCTACATTTATTCAAAATATTCTATGGTATTTAATATTTATTTAAAATAGAATATTTAGATTATCATCATTCCTTTTTATAGTTTCATTCCTTTTGTAATATTTTATTGTACATATATCTTTATTGGTTACTAGACGAATGACCCGGGCAACGCCCGGGTTTACCCGATTAAATGTTTTATTCAAACACTATTCGTTACAATTATAAATTGGCGCCGTGGATGTCACTCTTGTGAAACGTCCCGCTCCAAACTTTACAGTCAGATTAGTTACGATATAAATCTTCAAATCGAGCGAGCGTCTATAAATATTTCGATTTAGATCAAGTATTCTAATTATTAAGCGAACACTATTATTAATAAAATTTTGAGAAGATTTCGATTTTAAACGTATTTATAACCTTGATAGAGGGCGCTGTTCGTGAGCTATGTAGAATAATTTGAATATATAGTTTTAATATTTAATTTATATATAATTTAAAATAGCCTATCGTTTTCCTCGTATTTTTTTTACCTATGTATGGAAATTTTGGTTTGAATTAGTGAACTACTGCGAATTTGTATACCGGACATACAAACCAACAAACAAACAAACAAACATACAAACATTCATTTTTATATATATAGAAGATATAATATATATGAGTTTTAAAAATTGTTAAAAAAAAATGCATCGGCCGGGAATCGAACCCGGGCCGCCCGCGTGGCAGGCGAGCATTCTACCACTGAGCCACCGATGCGTATACAAAATGGCCATATTTGGGTATTCATTCCATTCCGGATTACTCCGCGTAAAAAAAGTTCTTCAAATGATAAAAAGAAATACCCAAAAATACTAAGCAAATTGTATCCAAAAATTTTCCTCAGGTTTATAAAAAGCGACATGCAAAATTTGGTACCAATTGGTTCAGTAGTTTTTGAGTTTATCGCGAAACAGACAGACAGACAGAAATTGACTTTTATATATATAGAGATTAGTGTTTAGGTATTTGATTTAATTCATATAGTTGATATAATAGTATATATTTATATTATATTTTTTATAAATTAGTTTTAAAAATTGTAAAAAAAAAAATGCATCGGCCGGGAATCGAACCCGGGCCGCCCGCGTGGCAGGCGAGCATTCTACCACTAAGCCACCGATGCTTTAAAAAAAATGGCCATATTTAGGTATTCATTCCATTCCGGATTAGTCCGCGTAAAAAAATAGTTCTTCAAATTAAAAAAAGAAATAGCCAAAAATAATAAGCAAAATGTAGCCAAAAATTTTCCTCAGGTTTATAAAAAGCGACATGCAAAATTTGGAACCAATTGGTGCAGTAGTTTTTGAGTTTATCGCGAAACAGACAGACAGACAGACAGAAATTGACTTATATATATTGTAACGTAGAAAATTAAGAAAGACAAACCTCAGAATGACACAGCAATTTATTTAAGGCAAAACCAAATTAAAACTAATGAAATGGCAGAGTGGCAATGAGAAAATTTTACAGTGTATCAAAATACAAATATCGAAATTTAAAACATTTCATAGAATGATAAATAATCTGCTACATAGTTCCTTCCTTATGGGAGCTGTGACCCACAGCTTGAAAATCTTGTTGCTACTGAAAAGAATCTGACGTGTTTCTGTCAAGTATTCCCTCGGAGTTCGGACATCTGTCCCTTGTAGCTTCGCGTCCTTTTTCTTGCGGCATTAAGAGCGGCTTTGTCGTCGGGACGGACAACATAATCTTGGAGGGAATTCTTGGCTTTGACACGGCGGTGGAATCCTGGAGCCAGTCTCTGAAAATTTAGATCATAGCAGCCATGGCCTCTAGGTCTTCTCGGAGATTTTCAGTTTGTCTTCCCTAATCTACCCAACATCTCCACCAGTTGTAACGTAGAAAATTAAGAAAGACAAACCTCAGAATGACACAGCAATTTATTTAAGGCAAAACCAAATTAAAACTAATGAAATGGCAGAGTGGCAATGAGAAAATTTTACAGTGTATCAAAATACAAATATCGAAATTTAAAACATTTCATAGAATGATAAATAATCTGCTACAATATATAGAGATTAGTGTTTAGGTATTTGATTTAATTCATATAGTTGATATAATAGTATATATTTATATTATATTTTTTATAAATTAGTTTTAAAAATTGTAAAAAAAAAAATTTATCGGCCGGGAATCGAACCCGGGCCGCCCGCGTGGCAGGCGAGCATTCTACCACTAAGCCACCGATGCTTTAAAAAAAATGGCCATATTTAGGTATTCATTCCATTCCGGATTAGTCCGCGTAAAAAAATAGTTCTTCAAATTAAAAAAAGAAATAGCCAAAAATAATAAGCAAAATGTAGCCAAAAATTTTCCTTAGGTTTATAAAAAGCGACATGCAAAATTTGGAACCAATTGGTTCAGTAGTTTTTGAGTGTATCGCGAAACAGACAGACAGACAGGAATTGACTTTTATATATATAGAGATAGAGATTGGAGCGAGAGAGGACCTAGACTGCGGATCACGACCTACGAGGAAGACAACGAATGAATAAACGCAATAACTTTAAAAGGTAATTTATTTTTTTTCAATTTTATTTATTTGCTTTGAGTATGGAAACCCGCTCGGTGTATAACACCAAGAAGAAAGAAACCAAACGACGACCCTGCAAAGCTGCAACTTGGTGCAACAATATATATACAAAATAGACAAAGGCAATAAACAAACATGGGTAATAATACAAACAGCAAAATCCAAAGGATTTCAATTCAATAAAGATCACAATGCTATCACTTGTATTATGTACAGTCATATATAGCATCTTGAATTGTGTGACTCCCCCACTATTTTATTTTAATTAAAATCAAATTGATTACGAGTGGGATGAATATTTGATCAAGATATTAATTATTAAAATTCATTATAATAATTAAAATTATATATTATTTAGTTTCAAGTGTAATTTAATCTTTGTCAACTCATTTGAACACGTCACAGGAGTCTCTAAAGTCATCAACTATAAACTGGTTCATTGAATCTCACATTTATAAAACATAGTCAAATTTGGCAGAAATAAATAAGAAATTCTGTGAATGATTAAAAATAAATATTTAAAATGTTTCGTAGAAATATTCAGTAATACGGTGTTTTATGAAGAAAATAAATTCAATGGAAATTTCATATTTTTTACATATTTATTTGCTAAAATCTAAATAAATATATTTTAAAATATTTCTGTTGACATTAATAAAATTAAACTCGAAATTAGAAAATTATATTTTTGAAGTTATTTTAGTACATGGGCTTAGATTTCTCCACTACGTATTGCCCATATGAATTGTACGAAGAGTTTATAAAAAATATCTTTTGATTTGTTGTAGAAAATATTTTCTTCTTTATAAAATGGAGATTTCAAAGAAAATTTTAACAGAATTCTACCTATATTTCAAATTTGATTTGAAAAATATATTTGTGTGTTTTATGTATGTTTTATTTTATTTATTACCAGTTGCAAATAAGACACGCTATATCCAATCTGGATAATTGAGCGTGAAATTATTTAGAATAATTCATATTGTAGTAGAGGAGATAACAGAATTATCAAGAAAATAAACAATTAAGAAAAAAGAGAATTGAATAAACATATACATTAAACAAATAAGCAAAACAATAAGCAGATAGAAGAAATCGCAAGGTAGGTATTTACAGTATGTTAAGCAATGATGGAAGTTATAATGTTTTGTGTTATGTTTATAGTATTGTGTTGGGTGTATTATGTTGCGAGTAATGTTTACTGTACGAAATATTGTGCAACATGTAGTGTTTCATATATATATGTTATTTGTGATATTGCGTTGAATAATCAATTAATGCAAGACATGCAACAACTTTCCTGGTGTGGAACTAACACCTACTCACATATTCTCATGCCCGGCAATAGCCGCAGCCTTGCAGAAAATTGACATGGACCCAGAGCAGCAGCTTTACACACCCAAGATAG